GCATGGACGTGTGGTGGAGTGGTTGGAGAGGGGAGGTTGTTGGGAGGCTGGAATGAAGAAATGGAGTAAGGAGATGAGTTAGGGATCTGGAGAGATATGATACCAGGAAGAATAAAGACAGAAAGATTATAGAAGCATGAAATGAAAATATTTAATTTATCTTGTCTAGGGTGTAGAGAACATGAAACAAGTAATAAGCGAGAAAGATCCAGGTTAAATTCTGATTATAGACAGCCTTTCATGCCAAGCTAAGGAATTTGAATTTTTTTTCTTTTTTTGCAGAGGAGCATGAATCTCTTTAAAGATTATGATGATTGGCATTATTTTGTCAGAACTTCCGGAAATGTGCTTGCCAGAAACTTCATCTAATCATAGTGTGTGAGATGAGTTAGCATATGTATGTTTTATGAGAGCCCTTGACATTGAGTAGTGATGCTATATTCATGTCTTTCTCAGCCTGAGGATTCCTTGAACATTCCTTAAGGCCAAGGATTATAGTTTAGCTCTATGTTTTCCCCTCTCTTGACTTCACAGGGCTTAGTTGCTGGAGGAATGTTGATGTGGTTCTAGAATAGTTAATGAGAGCCTCAACCACCACTGGGAATGGTGGGCAGGTGACGAAACACTCCGGGGTGGCATGCATGGAAGTTAGCAACTCATTAAATATAAAAGTCTTTTCTCTTCCTAGAAAAGACTCTAGACTCCTTAATCTGGGATTCTGCCCAAGGACTTGGTATTCTATTCCTTCTTTCAGGCACACAGCAAACCTTGGTACCAACTGAAAGGCAGTATTTAAAATAAACAAACAAAACCTTTTTCTTTGGCAGTGTTTATTCCAGATATCTAGAAGAAAAATGTTTTTTATATACTTCCAGATTATCTTCTGAAAAATTCACGTCAGTGTGTATACCCTACCGAGGGTGTGCAGTTCTTCTTTGTCTACATCTTGCCAGTACTGAAAATTATGGTTTTTCCCCCAATTTGATAGGCTAAAAATGAAATGCTATTATATTATTTTGGATTTCACTGATGACTGCTGAAGTTGAGACTCTTCATATATTTACTATTCATGAATTGTCCATATGTTTTAGCTTAGTTAAAAATGTGGGTATCTTTTCTCAATAATTAATGAGAATTCTTTATATATCAGTGATACTAGCTTTTGATTTCTTATTTATTTTGGAAATACTTTATTCAAGTATGGTGTTTTGCCTTTCTATATTACTTAAAGCAAAATATTTATAATACTGATGTTCTAAGTTTTAAATGACCTGTAATTTTTTCTCTTTATGCCTTTTATGTGTTATGTGTGCTTGATGAAACCTTTTCCACCTTATGTGTTATACAAGTATTTTCCTATATTGTTTCTTTGTGTAGTATTTATATTCACACTTAAATTTGAATATTGGATTATTCATCTTAAATTTATTTTTATGTGTTTGGTAAGGTACAGGTCTAATTTTGGAAAACAATTTCCTCAAATGAAAATGTAACCAATCAACCATCCTGCTTGCCTACAATTAAAATCAACCTCATAGGATCATGCCTCAGATTTAAGAGTTTAATAAGGAATGATAAAGACAGATCTAATGCATTGTCTTAGCTTATTGTTCCTTCTATCTGAGTTGTAGTCAGTGAAAAAGTAATCTTGTCCTCATTTAATTCATTTAATCTAGAATTAGTTGTGAGATTCCATTCGTCGTAAACTCTACACTGCCTAATATAGTACTCTATACATAGCAGTGATAAAAAATATTTTTGACTTCAAGATGAGTCTACAGAAAGGAATGTAAAGATCATAGCAGTAACTATTCCTTCAAAGTTAACCTAGTAGAATAACATATACTCTATTCACTATAAGTGGAGTAAGAATCACGAGAGAGAAGTAAAGTGAAGTCTTAGCTTTTTCACCATTCTGAAATAAGTGATTAGGATACTTAGACATAATATATGCAAACCTTTCAGCCCAGTGTGTGCACATAATAGGGCCACATTACTGGTAACTAGAAAATAATTATTTTTACCATTTCAGTTATTCAATGGAGGGGAAGACTTTTCTATCATAGAATCTTCAAGTGTTTAAGAGGAAATAGTTCCATATATGAAATAAGAGCTTAAACACTCTAATAAATCTGAATTTTGTATGGTTTAATCACACTAAAGAAATAATAATAATTGGAGTTCATTGTTCACTGATATTGATGGTTTCTTCCTGAAACTAGACATAAGAAGCTTATAAAAACATAAAGAACAGACATTAATAAGTGATATTCAGATTATATGTGTTCTCTCCTTAATCACAGCCTGTGTCTATTATATTCTAAACAGACAAAAGCAGGGACCAAGCTAATTTATAAAATGCTATGACTTTAGCTACTGATGACGAAACACTCCGGGGTGTTCCGGGGTGTTAGCATAAGTCAATAAAAAGAATAAATTCAAAGTGGTTGAAACAAACATCATTGACTGATAGACATTTAAACCTTTGGGCTTGAGAAATCACTGATGTGGTACTTTCAGGAGGTTTGATTTTATAGGCTCCTCAGCCCGAGTTTTTAAAAATACAAAAAGTGATGTGGCCTTGGAGATAAGAAAGGCACCAGGCTGTCACTGCGAAGCTGCTTTGCTTTTAAATGGCCTGTTTCCAAGTTTGAATCTGTAATCTCGTGGTAGAAAAGCTTTGAATTTGCTGGTAAAGATGAAAGATGCTCAGAGCTATTACCTTAAAATAGAAATCGATAGATAAATAGGCCATGGAAATTTAGATTCTGACCTAAAGGGAAGAGGAAAATTGAATCGAGATAATTATCTTGTTAACTTGAGGCAAATTTAAAGTTCACCTTTAAGAGAGTCAGATCATTAATGTCAAAGTGTAGGTTCTTACTCATTTACATAATAAATAAAGTTACTCAAATCAGCTAGATTTATTAAAATATTATAATTTGTAAAGTTTCATTTAACACATTTAAAATAGGTAGAAAACTCTCAAGGATTTGGAAAATAGGGAGAAAAAGTACCCTCTGAATGTTATTATTGCAAAAGAAAACCTTTTTTGTTTTTCCTAGCTTTCATTTGCTTCTTATCTTTAGATCAAAGAAACAGGAAGAAATATTGACATTAATAAGGATTATTTCAAATTAAATATCTTTACTCCATAATCATGGCCTGTGTATATGATATTCTAAATTAGAACAAAAACAGGGACAAAACTAATTTATAAAATGCTTTGAGTTTAAATAGCTTAAGTCCAGATAAATCAACACAGAGAAGTATAATCTCAGGGAACTAATCGAAATCTAGTTATCAGTAAGAAATGCATACCTTAAGGTTTTGAAAAATAATCACTAAATAATTGCTACTTATTGATCTCTTAGAAGGAATTAATATTCCAATGGAAGCTAAATTCTCTAGTTAGCATCTGGGTCCTTGTCACTACCTTAACCAGGCCTGACTCAGACAAATAATATCGTGTACTAATCCACCAAAGGGTAGTGTTAGGAGGTATTCATAACCCATCTAGGAAATACTGGAGGGGAGAGGCTTTGCTCCCTCGAAGAGGAGCCAATGAGGGTTTTCTGTCTCAGCAGCTTAGAAGGTTTGAAATAAAGCTTGAGAGTGGGAGGAAGAACTGGACTGAGCTATAATAACTCATCTCACTAAATCAATCTTCTCTGCATGAAGCTTCTAAAGCACCTTATTTTCAAATCAGTTCTAAATCAGCCAAGTAAGTACAGAAATACAGGCATGAAGCCAAATAATTAAAATAAAACATGATTTGGATTTCATTCTTCATCAATTTTAGGACAAATTATAATTTAGTAAAAAAAAAAAGCAACATTTGAAAACCGATCTCTCTTGAGTTCACCTCGCACTGCAAGAGCAAATATAGCTTTTGAAACCGGTGTTCTCTAAGAGTATAAAGGAAACATTGATATATAGTAATTGGGATATGTCTACAAAGCGTATTTTCCAAATTCAAAAATTAAAATTTCCTAAAAATTTACTTGGAATTATACAAAATGAAGGACATGGAATTTTAAAAGTAACACATGCATCTTAATTGTAAAAAAATCAGACATTCAAATTGTGTCACATTCTCATACATAGCTATACGGTTATTCTTTAATTCTTTTATTACTCTACTTTCTGAATTATTTACATAAACTTTTTTTAACACATATATTCCAGAATACAGCTTCTTGATTTTTTTTGTCTATTTTCTTTACATTTAAATTTATAAATGAATTCGTTCATTTAGTTATTTACTCAGCAAATGTTACCATATACCTATTTAGAATCAAGCAGTATGTTAATGACTAATAGTGCAATTATGAGTTAAAAGAGGCACACTTTGTGGACTGTGATGAAGTCTAATAGGGGAGACAGTTATTACAAAAATAACCACACAAATTAATGAGAAATTACAACTGAAGTAATTGCTATGAAGGAAAATATGACTCAATGAAAACATGGGAAAAACTGTCTTAGCATAGGAATTTCATTATAAACTGAGGAAATTAGTCATTTACTAGTGCCAAGCGCTAAGATATTCTCTCTGGTTTGTGTGGAGACAGATCTCGAGAACAAGAAGAAATTTACAAATCTTAGGGTTCATTTTAGGCAAGAGAAGCACACTGCTCCTCTCCCTCCCCACCAAACAAAAACAAATTTATATTGTGTGTATTAAGCAGGAAGAAAAGATACCATCAAAAGTCACATGAAAGAAGAAAATATGATCAATATGCTCAAAAGTGTTTCCTTCTGCCGAGTAGTCACATTGCTTTTAAAAAGCATCAGACCTCAACTTCGTTTGGATTTTGCTTTTTGTTTTTATTTTTGTTTTAACCCAAATGGGTAGAGGATAGTTTTCAACATACCCCTGGTATGGAACGCTCAATCTAAATGTGTGAATATAAAAGTTAAACATATGCTTTTTTTTTTTTTTTAATGTTCTCGTTTTTGGTAAGGGGTTGCACGATGCTATCTTTGTTTTGTTCTAGGAGATTACGTGGTTATGTCTGTCTACTTTGACCTGAGCAGAAGAATGGGATACTTCACCATCCAGACCTACATCCCTTGCACACTCATCGTTGTTCTATCCTGGGTGTCCTTCTGGATCAATAAGGATGCTGTTCCAGCCAGAACTTCTTTAGGTGAGACACATCTGTTTGTGTTGTAGTGTCTCAAGGTAAGTACCCAATGGAAGTAATCCTATTCTGCTTTCTAAACTGATTTGCTTGTGGTTCAGTCAACAATTACATAGAAATGCATTTGTTTCATTTTAAAGAAAACTAGCATATTAAAAATGAGAGTGTTCATCGTTTCCCAAGTCTGTTTTCCTTATTATTTCAATAGTTTTTTGTTTGTTTGTTTGTTTTAAGTAAATTGTCTTAAGAAGTTTAAGTTAATTAGAAAAAAAAAAACTTCTAATTTCAACAGATTTTTTGTTTTGGTCTCTGGGCAGTTAGTTACATGATGTAGCTGTTCAGACCAGCTCGTAAGAGCCGATCGTTTGTGCTTTTCCAACAGTGTGTCTGGACAGGTCGCCCTGGCAGTTTGACATTAGGCAAGGTGAAAATTAACGCCATGGAAATTGGCGAATGCTAAAAATCACAACCTTCATTTTTTTAAGAGTCAATGGTTACACATTTATCAGCATACCCTTGACTATTAACTGATTATAACATGCATAGTTATCATGATGACATTTGAAGACATACATACATATTGTCTTTTTCTAGAAGAGCCACTGAAAAAATTATTTTGGAAAAAACTCAATTCCCTATGAAATTTTGGGAACCCATTTTCATACTTTTAAGATTATTTACAGTTTGCTCAATCTATTGTATATAGTAATATTCAGATTTTCAGATATTTTTCCTCACATCAAGAAGAAGGCACACAGAGTTTATAACAAAGCCACAAGGCTCAAAGAGACATTGGAGTCTACATCCATGAATAAAATTTTCATAAAATTCTCTAAAGCCTTAACTAAGAATAAAGCTACTGAAAGATGAAACACTAAATCATAATCTCTTTTATCAGTTAAGTGAAAATTAGAACCATATCTCTTGCTTACTCTTTGGCTAAAGAGGCCTAATCATGAAAATTTAAGAGCTGGAGTTTTAAACTCTAAACAATCTTGATTTCAACCCACAATTATAATGTCCTTGGTAACAACCTTTAATCTCTGTAAATCACAGTTTCTTCACAGGTAAAACATGTATCATTTCCTGTACATAACTAGTAAGGTTTTATTGGGTTAAATAAGGTATTCCATGCAAAGTGCACAAAACATAGTAAGACATCAGAAATGTTAGCAACTATAGTCATTTTCTGACAAAATGATTTGTAAAACTGAGGGCAGAAGAAATAACTGGGGGCAAAGTCCGTCATTTCCATATTAGTCCTATTCAGAACCTAATTTAGTCTCCGATCTGTTTCAAAATAGTTATTTTGATTTTTTTCTGTTACATGCAGTACTTTATGTTACAAGTCCTATTCAATAATTATAATAAGTTGTCTAATGCTACATGCTGAAACAAACCACAAATGTGTTGAGTCTATTACTTTAGGATGATTAATCGTCACTGTGAGCAGAATGTGTTGCATTACATTCTATGTCTGCCTCTCATATCAGCATGCAAATGTCTTTTTCATTCTCAGTATAGTGCCTGGCACATAGTTGGTACCACAATGATTATTCAAGTAACGTATGCGGTTATGAATGGATGGAACAGATGGACTGATACATTCCAATTTATCCATCTCGCAAATATTTTAAGGAAAATATTTCATATCAATTTCTCCTCTTGAAGTCTAGACGCTTGCTGGTCAAAATCCTTCTTATGGCAACTCCAGTAGCTCATTTCAACCACTTATTAAATAAATGCTCAGTGGCAAAAGACCATGGTGGGAGAAGGGATCAAGGTGAGTGAGCTCAAGAATTAGGAATAAGTGAGAAACTCCTGAGTGAATAGCAGGTATGCTATTTATTGATCGTGGACTACAAGTCAGGCATGTACAATATGGTCCCCATGCCTTTCTACTCTTTACAACAGCAGAATGTAGAAGTTGTAATTATTATAAAAATATCACATTTTTTAAAGTTAAGAAAGCAGAGGTGCTATGTTTAAATGACATTCTCAAGGCAATAAATATTTGTGAGCATAGTGAATGAATTCCAATTATGCTTCCTTTCCCATTACTTAGGTTGCGTATCAAGTCACAAAAAAAGTTTAGTTTCCATAGTGACTCAGTTACCCTACTTACTGATGTGGTCGCATGATCTGTTTAACTGTGCCTCTCTTCAGGTATTACCACTGTCCTGACAATGACTACCCTCAGCACCATTGCCCGGAAGTCACTCCCCAAGGTCTCCTATGTCACAGCAATGGATCTCTTTGTATCTGTCTGCTTCATATTTGTCTTCTCTGCTTTGGTGGAATATGGCACCCTACATTATTTTGTCAGCAACCGGAAACCAAGCAAGGACAAAGACAAAAAGAAGAAAAACCCTGTATGTATCACTTCTCACTGGGACCACTGAAATTTTTATGCAGGAAGACCATCAGCTTTTGTTTTTGTTTGGTCTTGCTTAGCCTATCCGCAGGTTAAATCTCAACACTTGGGCTCCAAGATGAAAAGTGAATATGTGAGTTTCATCAAAATATAAGGATTCAATAGAGTCATAGTTACTTGAAAGAGACCTGATTCACTAAGGCAGACTCTTGCTTTCTTCATTTTACAGGAAGTATAATCACTGCTGAGAAATGCATTTATTTTCTAGCTGTTATTTTTCTAGGTTTTATCGTACCGCCTCTTTACTTTATTTTTAAATTACTGTGTTAAATTAAAATTTTCATCCAGAGATTTCTGCTAGGAAGCCACAAGATTGTTGAAATTTCAAGGATCACCACACTTTTGCAAATAATTTAGTGTGTGTGTGTGTGTGTGTGTGTGTGTGTGTGTGTGTGTGGTGTGTGTTGCCACCAGAGGACTTCTACTGATTTCAAACTCAAAATGTATATTTTTCGTTTTAAAAGAAATGGCTCATCTATTTAGCAACTTATTTAACCTCCCTGTGTCTTTATTTTCTCATATATGAAATAAGTATTGTAAAACAAAAAACAAACAAAAAAAAAACACCAAAAAAAGACATATCTCATATGGCCATTGTGAAAATAAATGTGGTAACAGAGGTAAAAAGCATTACATAGTAACTTATACATGAAAGCCTTTACCATTAATAGTTGATGATGATGATTGTTGTTGATGATTTATAATTACCAACCTGAATTGATCTCAGTGATTTGGAAATAGGAAGGATGACTTCACCTTGCCACCAAACTTTAAATAGAGATGATGAAGCACAAATGTGAATGCCTAAAGCAACTGTCTTTTATTATTAATGTTAAAGAGAGCATGTAGATAGATATCCATTTACCCTCCTAAACATAGTGTCTGGCTCACAGGAGGCCCCATGAAAGTTAAAGTCCGTTCTCTTCCAAGAAAAGAGGCAAAGGAATTCCCCTGATGTATAGCCTTTCCAGATCTTTCACTTGAGGGCTTTGATAGTGGCTGGCTGTCTGATCCACAGACTCTGGGGGATCGAATTCTAATGAGGAAATCTAGCTGATGCATCTCCAGGAACCTCAGTGAAATTCTATAAATGGTGTTTATTTGAATATAAGAATTTATAACAAGTAAAGAAAGAAGTGTCATTATACTTGATGATTAATAAAAAAATAAATGCTTATCTTTAATCTCCCAGATAATTGCTATGCTTTATGCAGTCCTTTCTTTCCCTGTCTGATCTTCTCTTTGCCTTCGCATTTTCTTATCCTTATTTTGGTTTCCTTGTTGTGTTGTTTATTTTGTTTGTTTGTTTGTTTTCTCCCCCTCCTTCACGTTCCATTTCCTTTTCCCCCAAGAAGATGGTTCTGTTGCTGTTCAGTATTATTACCTGCCAGCAGTAAGGAGGGTATGAAGACTGCCTTTCTAACAAGAATGAAGAGTGCTGTGGAAAAAGCCCTTTGGCCCTCTAACTGCCAGGTCAACACCTGGATTCCTTAATCCAGGGTCATGAAGATGACAGAAGAAAAGAAGGCAGAGGAGGAAGGGGATTAAAGAAACTGAGAAAATAAAATGACCTTAGAATTTTATGCATTTTCCCCCTTTAATCCAATTGGATGATTTATCTAAATAAGCAAGAGCCTAGGGTGTGAATTAGAAGCTGAACTTTTATTTTCCCAATTAATATGCCTTTTGGTTCATTATGTCAGGATTCACAAATTAAGGCTTTCTTGATGATAATTAGAAAATATATAAAATCACAGTATTTCTATACATGGAAACCAGGCAACTGAAGGGTTCCTCACGAATGAACGACAGTGGCTTTTGCAGTTAGATAACTGTGGATTAATTTATTGAAGATTTCCAAATTCCCTTTTCCAACTTTTGGCATATATTTTGTTCCAAGTTCAGAACTGTCCTTCTGTGTTTGTAATTTCAGTTCATTTTACTTACTATATTTTAAAAATGTATTTTTAATTTATCTTATTTTGTCTCTTTCTCTTTTTTTTTTCTTTTTTCCTTCTTTTAATTAAAAAAAAAAAAATGCACTTCTCTTTTCTGTCTACAAACCCAAAGCTTCTTCGGATGTTTTCCTTCAAGGTATAATGTTTTTGGAATGGAAATTCACTGCATGCAACTGCTAAATTTAAGTATTAACGCTTACATGGTGTTTTATTTATTTATTTATTTTATGGGGTAGACATTTAAGCATTCTACTAGAGACAACACAGTTAAGATGAAGAAAGTTCTATAGATTTCTAGAGTTGACTTAGCAACCCTACACTAATTCTCAGAGGTTTTGACTTTACATGAAACTAAAAAGTTGTAAGCTCTCATTACTACTGAGAGCCCCCTTAAACGGCAAAGCCAAAATGTACCTTCTCTTCTCAGATGAAAATGGAATCCAATTTCACTACCCACATCTTCTGTGTCCTTAAAATTTAATTCTGTAAATCCTAATTTAAAACAGGATTGTTTTGCGATATGTAAATTTAATAGTTGCCTTTGTCTAAACTGTACCTGTCAGTTCTATAAAAACAATACTCTCTTTGAAATGCTGTAAGTTAAAACACCCTTCCTTCTAGGGTGATCCAGAAGCCTTTTGGCTCTATCATGCAATATTACAAGGTTTCTATTCCCAGTTGAATTGTGACAGCTGATTCAGAGATATTAGAATTTATATTTATATTTATACATAATTTATTTATGTATTTACATTATCCTAAAACTAACTCCTCCACATTGAAGTGAAATAGACAGACCATTGAGTCTTACGGCGATTTTAAAATTGGTCTGAAGGCAAAAATTAGATTAGCATTTAGTTAATTGCTACTATTTTCTTCTCAAATGATGAAAAACTTTGACAGGTAGTAACATTATTTTTTCTGAATTTTCACCCACATGTAAGTAAACACTGCTGGCATTTGGAAGCTTCTACATGGTGAATGTTAGACAGAACACCACATTCCTTTAAAACATAAGCCATACTATTGTAGTATAAGCTCAGAAAACTTCTATATTTATATATATAAATATAGCAAAAAATTAACAGTTTTATATTAAAAACATTTAATATATTTGCTTAGTATAATGGAGTTTACTATTTGCCTATAGGTAAGCATGACAGAAAATTTGATTTCAAAATTGATGCATTTTTATTTCTTTGTTCTACTCACATGCAATATCATTAAATGCCTTCATGTAACCAACCTCACATCTAATATTTACCAGAATAAGATTCCATGTAGTTGTTTGGTTTAAGTCTGAGTTCTTTTGGTGTTTAATCTTGCTCTAGCTATTAGCTTAATGGTATTATTTTCAGCTGCACTGCTTAAGCTCAAAATTTGAAATCTGCAAATGTGCTATCCTTCTAAGTTCAATTTTACCATTGTAGATCATGATGTCATAGCAATTTCCTGAGTATTCATTTTCAGATTCATCATTCACATTGGTAACATTTTGGAAAATTAGTCGAGAACTTATCAAGTATAACTAACTCTGATCTCTCTTTTTCCCTACCCTTGTCTCAGGCCCCTACTATTGATATTCGCCCAAGATCAGCAACCATTCAAATGAACAATGCCACGCACCTTCAAGAGAGAGATGAAGAATATGGGTATGAGTGTCTGGACGGCAAGGACTGTGCCAGTTTTTTCTGCTGTTTTGAAGATTGCCGAACAGGAGCCTGGAGACATGGGAGGATACATATCCGTATTGCCAAAATGGACTCATATGCCCGGATCTTCTTCCCTACTGCTTTTTGCTTGTTCAATCTGGTCTATTGGGTCTCCTACCTTTACCTGTGAATAGATATGGGTTTTATTGATAAGGGTCTTATTCATTAAATCTCATGGAAAGAAGATGTCCTTTCTAAGTCCACTGAAATAATGCTTCATGTGGTTTATAATGATCTGAATTTGTTTCTATGTCCTAACCTGGTAAATTGTATTAATGTCATATTGTTTGCGCCCAACTCCCCTTCAATAAGTGTGATGTTTCTGTGCTGCAAAGTTGCAAGGCAAAGTGAAATTAGAGCAAAAACATTGAAACCAAGTAAGATATTTTCCAGCTATGGCAATCAAATAGTAAAAGCCATGACTATTTACAGTGGTGGTGTACTTATTCAATTCAAAATACAATTAGATGCAAAAGGTCCAAAACTACCCTATGTTCATCTGGTGTCAGGTTGTGGTAAATTTGATCCCAACAGAATATCTCCCTCATTTGAGACAAATCACAACTCACTTTAAATTTAAGAACCTAGACAATAAATCTATTATGCTTCTATCGCAAGATAGGAAGAAAATTTCCTCCATATCACATGTACAATGATGTAAATATTTCAATAACTTAGAATGCTTCAAGTTTAATGCATGCATGTCTTTAGAGCCAAAATAAATGGATTGAAGTTAACATCATAAAGTATTGTCTTTTATTCTGCTTCTTTGGGCTATCAAAGAATCGTGAATGTAATTATAAGGGTTTGAGTTTGGAATTAGAAGAAAGAATTTTCACTACTTTCTCCCTTATGCATGAAGATTGGAAAAGCTTATTTTTTTTCCATGTATGACATATTAAAACATTTTAAGTAAAATATAGACTGAATTTACCACCTCTAAATACTCCCAATTTCAGACTATGAAGTAATTGTATGTGCTTGCCGCTATATTTTCTTCGTTTTAGAATGATAGATCTTAACAGAAATTACCTTCCACCTTAAAATCTGCTTCTAGTGATTGTGAGTGCCTCATGGGCAGTATCCTTGTCATCCCTTTCTGGGTTCTCAGCAGCTGTAGAGTACCTGGCACATAGTTGGTGCTCAATAAATATGGTTTGAAGTGAATTGGCCCCATAGGCTTCTGGTGAAACTTTCTGTGCTGGCCTGGAACCAGTGATTCATCTTTTCACATAGGCATTGTCAAGTGATATTTGATCTTGAAGAAATAAATAGAAGGATCCAAAGAACTCTGGCAATTTATATTCATTATCAAAAATTTATTTTAGCCAATGCCCATACTCCTTTAAAAACAATAGCTATGTCCTATATTTGTATACAAAAATGAGTCTACTAGAGGATGATTAGAGTTTGTGTACTATTTTTCTAGGTTTGGGAATGAATCAGCTTTGACCTCCCACAAAAGCGCTTGAGGACATATGACAGGCATAAGCAAGATTCACACTTGATTAGTGTTCAGAATGTAGTATTATATGCTCTGTGAAAAGAAAATATATCTATACTAAAGAGATTAAGTTTTAGAAAGATGAAAGAACAAATGACTTACAAGGAGGTCGAGTCTATGACTGTAGCCTCATTCAACTATACTGTAATCACATGAAGCAGTTGTTCAAGACTTCAAAAAAAAATGAGTTGGGCTCCATCTTCATGTACTCATCTTGAATCCTTATTTTTCTAAAATAGCACCCTTTGTCCATTCTTCTTTATGGCAATCGTTGCTCTAAGTCAGAATTTCATCGCAGCTAGTAAAATTTCATAGACAACCTAAAAAGAGTAGAAAAGAAGAGAGAATGACTTTGTTTATATAAATCCACATAAAGGCATCATCAAGTCATCTGGACAAATCTTGAAACACATATAGCTGCCAATTTTATAAACCTTTAATATATCAGTGCTCTAGTATATAACCTCAAACACATGTAAATAGAATTAATTATTTTCTTGTTTTGAATTGTTATTAACATATTAAATATTGACCCTTTGGGAGAGTTGTTGGCAAATTTTCAATGGTGAGAAACATGTTATTATTGTCAACTTGAAATGTATTCCGTAACAGGGATACTCAAAAAAGCTAGCTTTCCAATGTGTGCATAGTATTGGCAATATGAATATATATTATATATAATCTAATTATTAATTACCAGTTGCTCCCTGTCTATGTATTTGAAAACCTTTTCACAAAGGGAATTGCCTAATATGTGGACTTTTACAATAAAAATGCTGCATTCTAATCCATGGTGGCCTGCCGGTGGTCTGTTTGGACTTTTTTATCTAAAACATTGTGACCTTTCTTTCCTGCCTCATTCCCCAACTGCCTTCTCTTTATGTGAGCTTTGTTTATGAGCAGTGTGATGATATTTTGTGTTATGATGCTCCTCACTTCAAAAGAATTAATAGATTAATTTGGGGTGTGGCGTGGAGATGGAAGGCAGAAATGTCATGCAGTAATAAAACTCACACCTTCTATATCTCAAAACTTTGGTGTGGTTACAATTATGGACACTGGTGTTAGACATAACAGGTCCCAAACCTTCTTTTACCAGTTGCTTGATAATTGTCAATTCAGCCTTAATAAGTCTCCATTTTATCATCTATAAATTAGGTATAATAATGCCATCCTATGTAGTGACCCTTAACAAGTCGTCAAAAACTCCCTCCCTCAATTCTAATGCCTCCAGTGCTCTGATGCCATGCACCTCCATCAATCAGCTTTCCTAAAATAATCCAGCAGTAGTTATATATGTCTTAATGTGACACTACACCACAATGTTTCATTTTTAAAGAGTATTTACATTGCAAACCTTCTTTAACCAATAGGTTGAAAACTTAAGTCTGTTGTTGAGAAAATATCATACATTAGATTAGTTATTTTTAAGGCCAAAGGACCCTTCTCTGTACTCTCAAAATTTAAAAACATAGGGAGCCATGTTGTAGAAACCATGCCACATTTTCTTGAAGTCCTTTGAAGTTCTCAAAAGAATAGCTTAATTTTTTTACAAACATAGCTGCCCTAACCATCCTCTGCCTGTCATTCTCTTGGCCCCTCATGGCTTCCTGCATCCATTTTAAACACGTGTTTCTCACTTTCCAGATATGTAAAAAAAACCAGTTTTCACCTAGATCTTGTCTGCAGTCTAACTCAATGCCCTTACCGTTAGCTGAGTGGATATTCAGTGTATGTTTTTCGTCCCTTTTTTTAAAATCTCAATATTATTCCAACAAGCAGCAATAATTTTTATCTGTGTTGGAGGTCAAATTAACCAAATGAATCAGTCTTTGTGGATTATGTCAAAAAATTGCTATCTCTATGCTTTGTCACTACGGATTTTTGTCAAATGTGTGGGAGAAAGGGATCATGACCTAAATCAACAGCACTGCTATATTTTGTAATGCTTGTTGAGTTTCCAAAGGTCACATAGCTTGTTAATGGTAAACCTGGAAGAGCCACCAGAGCGATGCTCTTTCTGCTGAAAGTGTTTCAGGATTTAGAAGGAACATTCTGAAACACTTTATCTTTCTGTTAATGCTTTAGGATCTGCCAAACTTGAGGATGTCTACTTTCTTTAATTTTGACCTCATTTTAGTTATTTTAATTGCAATGAGATAAAAATTTTAGAATACCTAGCAACAGATAAGTTGATGGTTTGTATTTTTTAATTCTCTATTTAAGATAACCAATTAATATTTAATGTTACCCACTGCTTTTAGAATTCTGTTTAAAAGAAGAGATCTACAATCATCTGAAAAACTGCAGACCCAGAGTTGGCCTTTGTGCCTCAAGGACTGGCATTAAACAACCATGGAGATTCCTATGACTAGTCTATAGACTCATCCTGTCTACTGTATCAGGAAAGTGGTGGGAATGAACTATTATTACTCATTCTGAGGTTAGAAATTATAGGCCAGTTATAAAAACCAGTTACAACTTTCTTTTGTGATATTTGGGATAATAAAGAAAAGTTTTCACTTACTAGTGTTTGCATTACAAAATGAAAAAACAGAGACTTCAAATCCAGATTGCCTAGGTTCAAATCCTGGCACTTTTGTGACCTGTTATCCAACTTTTCTCTGCCTCAGTTTCCTCATCTGAAAAATGGGGATAATAATGGTTTATAACTCATAGTTTTATTATTAGGAGAAACTAAGTTAATACTAAAGAAAAATTAAATGTTAGTAATTTTCCTCAGCACAGATATGAAGTATCAGAAAAGAAAGAGCATAAGGATCACAGTCTACCTTGCTTAAGAATAATTATCATTTATGAAGTTAATTACTACATTTTTCCATTTTGTGGGATGCAGTACAATAAACATCTTTACTGACATCATGCCATACTTGGGAAATTAAGGTTCATAAAGAAAATTATAGAGTTAAGTACTGGTAATTATTTCCAAGAGGAACAGTATATCATTTAAGTCACTATATGTAATATATGTGAAGATCAGAGTGTTAATTGATGTTTATGATTTTAATATTTCTGAAGGCTGTTACAGTGACATGGATATGTGCTGAAGCCAAACTTTTAAATTTTTTGTTTTTTTAAATAAAGAAATATTTTGAATAAATCTTATTTCAACAGAAAGAAAGAAAGAAAGAAAGAAAGAAAGAAAGAAAGAAAGAAAGAAAGAAAGAAAGAAAGAAAGAAAGAAAGAAAGAAAGAAAGTTTCTCTAAAAAATATAGAAATGCTGGACATGGTTCCATAATGTAGCGATTAGCATGTCTGCTTTATACGCAGAAGGTTCTGGGTTCATGCCCCAGTGGAGACATAGTCCATGGTCTATGGCCATGCCACTTTGCACAAGTCCAATGTCTGATCTCGGAAGCTAAATAGGGTCAGGCCTGGTTAGTACTGTAGGCATAAACAATAATAAAAAAAAATATATAGAAGTGCCTAATTGGATTGCTAAATGAATAAACATAAGTACCATTATCAATAAATATGTAGTTTTGTTTTAATATAGTATTTTTTAACAATATAACTAAGCTAATAAATTATTTTGTAGCTAAATTCACAAAATCCTTAATAAAATGAACATGTAGACTCTCAATCTTCCCATAGAAAAAGAAAAAAGTCACTGGACTAGGGATAAAGAACTCAAGTCACACCTGGAGATTTTCCTAAATACCTCTAACTTGGGAGTCTCAGTGTCTCATATGTCAATGAGGGTATTATTTGGTCCCTCTTCTTCTGACATATTTTAATTCTATTACTCCTCTGCTGTTATTACGGTATGATGTTATTGATTATCCTCTAATATTCAGACTTCCTTCAACTGTCATATCTCCACAGTTATCTTTACTCGTTTGTCCTCTTTTCTCCTTGAACTTTCTCCAAAAGAGTGCCATATCCCTAGAATGCCTTTTTCTGCTCAACAAACTGAACAGTCACTTACTAATTAAAGATTCCACATGGTCCATAAAAACTTTCTGATTTGACTAAAGTACAATAGGCTATTTTTTTTTTATCTCTTCCAGTACTTAATATGATTTTTGAGTAGCCTAATCCTAATGTTTATCTCCACTAAGTACTTACATTCATCCAATCCTCTTAGTAAACAACTTTTAAATGAACAATTCTGTACAAGAATATGATATAAATAATTCACTATCCATTTGCATCTTAAATCAGGTTGTTTATCTTCTGCCTGTCTCCTGGCTATATAAATTTGCCTCATAGTTCTTTCTGTTACTTCTATTTTTTATGGTTCTGGAAATAAGTTTCTAATCAAAGAAATTTTGATTAAGCACCTATAAATTCAATTCAGCATGAAGCTTTCCATAAACATATTTTGCAAGCCTCACATAAGGTAATATGAATGTAGGAAAAAATAAATTTTAGGGCATTCTCTGTTCTCAAATGCCCATAATATGATAGAGGACTCAGATAAGAACACAAGTAACTATAATGGAGCTGCACAAAAATAGTTGAGAGTAAAAGAAATCTGACTTTGGGTGAAACCAAAAAAGATTTTTTTCTGTTATACAAAGCATTCCAAAACATGTGAAGAGGTCCTATTACTGCTTTAAAACTTTGTCTATTAATAAAAACCTTGTAAGAATATTTAAAAATATAAGAAAACACAAAAGAAAAAAATATTATCCTTTATCTACTAGCAGGAGTTAACCACTAAATGCATCATTTACCTTTTTTCTCTTTTTTATTTTTTATTTTTTAGCATATTTAAACAGAAATATGATAGATAGATAGATAGAAAGAAAGAAAGAAAGAAAGAAAGAAAGAAAGAAAGAAAGAAAGAAAGAAAAGAAAAGAAAAAAAAGAAAGAAAGAAAGAAAGAAAATTCAGACAGACAGACAAAGATACATAGTAGTATAAGTATAGATATAGATCTATTTGGTAGCAGTTTTTTTTCACATAATTATGCATGTATGTATGTACACATTAACATAAATATTTTCTGGCATTCTATTATTATATCATACAGCTGTATCATAATTTAGCTAATCTCTATTCTGAAAATTGGGATTATTTCTTATTTTTGTTGTTATAAACAATGCTACGATATCTATCTATCTATCTATCTATCTATCTATCTATCTATCTATCTATCTATCTATCTATATCTCAGGCACTGTACACATTTGCTACTTTTTCCATAGAATAAATCTCTAAAAGTGGCTTTGCTGAATAAAAAGGTATAAGCATTTAACAGAGTCCCAGCAGAAATCAGGTCATACACTCAAAGGAAAAAAATGAAGAAAAATTAGTGAAGGAATTGTTTATGAAGATGTGGGCAAGGTTATAATACACCAACAGGGCAGCATAGTATAAGGGTCTAGCAACAGTGGAAAGCCATAATCACCTGAATTAGCTTCTTATTGCCACTGTATCAATTTACCACAAATGTTGTGGCTTAGAACTGCATAAATTTATGATCACATCTGAAAGTTGGAAGTCTCGCTGGCTAAAAGAATGGTGTCTTCTGGGCTGAGTTCCTTCTGAGTTCCCGCTTTCCTGGAAGCACTCAGGAAATACCTATTCTTTGCTTTTTCCAGGTTCTAGAAGCCCCCTGCTTTCCTTGGCTAGCAGCCTTCTTCCATTTGCAAAGTCAGCATCACTTCAGCCCAACCCGTTTCCTTCATTATATCTCCAACTCTAGCCCTGGCCTCCTGCCTCCCACTTATAAGGACCCTTGTGGTTACATTCGGCCCACCCACACAATCCAGGATAATCCACTCACTTCCAGATCTTGCAAAATATCTTTTACGAAA